ACACACGACACAAGACACAAGACACGAGACACAAGACACACGACACACGACACAAGACACAAGACACGAGACACAAGACACAAGACACAAGACACGAGACACGAGACACGAGACACGAGACACGAGACACAGGACAAAAGACACGAGACACGAGACACGAGACACAAGACACAGGACACAGGCCACAAGACACAAGACACGAGACACGAGACACGAGACACGAGACACAAGACACACGGCACACGACACAAGACACAAGACACAAGACACGAGACACAAGACACAAGACACAAGACACGAGACACGAGACACGAGACACGAGACACGAGACACAGGACAAAAGACACGAGACACGAGACACGAGACACAAGACACAGGACACAGGCCACAAGACACAAGACACGAGACACGAGACACGAGACACGAGACACAAGACACACGGCACACGACACAAGACACAAGACACAAGACACAAGACACAAGACACAAGACACAAGACACAAGACACAAGACACAAGACACAGGACACAAGACACAAGACACAAGACACGAGACACGAGACACAAGACACACGACACAAGACACAATATATATTGAGCGTGTGGGGAGATCGTCAAACTGTCAATACTTTTGACGTCAAAAAGTTTGACCAAAAGTCTTTGTGTGTATGGGCTACTTTAGACTGCGATCGTTGATCTTCCACTTTGAGTGAGCAGATGTTTTTCAATTGACCACCATGCTATTGCAAAGTACTTGCGCATGGATGGCTCATGGCGAAATGTGAAGCGTGCTGACAAAATGAGTTACTTCTCAGATTCAAGCCTTAAGGAAATAGATACATCACTCTTACAGGTAAAATTGTAACAATTTATAAGTATGAAATAATAAAAGGCATGTTATAGTTTAAGAGTATGGCACCAATAGAAAATATACAAATTTGACCCTAATGTCTATTTTTGGCCAATATCTCCATTCGTGGATTGCGAGAAGTAACTCATTTTGTCAGCATGCCTAACAAATGTTTGACGTACAAACACATCACGGGTTTTTTATTGAAGTGTGAATTTCTCCCTTCGTCATAATTTAGCAGTCGACAAATAATTCTTCTTGTCGTTATCAAATCGTTTCTATTAGACTGCCTTTGTTTGTGAGCTAGACGGAAATATTTTGTTTCACTTGGAATCTTTCACGCGTCTTTGGTTCTTCAACTGGTGAGACTTCACATTTGAGAGCTAGATCTAGACTTTGTACGTAGTTTGAACAAATTCAACTTTCCTTCTTTTTGTTTGTCTTTCTAAAAACTTGTTTTGTCTTGATAATTTTTTTCCTTTTGAAACATGAAATGATTTCAACTTCCAGACAACGGAATTCGACTGCTGCTTTCAGACAGTTACAAATTGTATTGATGAAATCATCTTTACTGAAAGTATCGTTCTGGGTGGTGTGTGTGTGTGTGTGTGTGTGTGTGTGTGTGTGTGTGTGTGTGTGTGTGTGTG